GGCGGGAACTGGGAAACGGAGCTTCCACTGATTTTACTAACACATCGCGCTACCACTCAGGAAACAACGAAGAAGTCACCCTTCCAACTGATGTATGGTAGAAAACCACGATTACCGGTACACAATGAGACCTGGCCCATGCACCAAAAGTGGAGTACGACGAAATTAAAAGCAGAGAGGAAAGAGGCAGTCAAGAATGTAATACGGAAGCAGCGCAGTGATGTCATGAAGTCTCAGATGAAAGAAAGGACGCAGTGCATTACCTTTGCAGTCGGGGACCAAGTGAAGTGTAGAGACAGGAGATATACAGTTGGAGGCGGGCTAGGTTCACGGAAACTCCTTCCAAAGTGGGAAGGACCATACACAATCACAAAAAGACGGGGTCAAGTATATACCATCCGAAGAGGTGATAAACAGAAACGAGTTAACGCCAGTCAGCTCCAAAGATGGGTACAGTGGGACAAGCCGGTCAGTAACAATCCTCAACTAGAGGATGTAGCACCCAGAAGGTCGGAACGTCTGCGCACGAAGCTATTTGACGGGGGGACGAGTGTGGTGAGAGCAGGCTGCTAGCCGATTGGTTGGCACTAATCTACGTTAAGGTCTAGGTCACTAATATGGGCCGTGAGAAAATATGAACAAGCCTGAGTCAACAACCAATCACAGCAAAGTTAACGTGGCAAAATATGATTCGCAGAGAGAACTCTATTTGTCAAGGAATCCCGAAACAACCAATCAGAAGCCTGCGTTTGTCTACCTAAACAACCAATCAGATGACTGCGCTTGTCTATAATAATGTAGTTGAAAGATGTATAAATACGTGTTGATTTTCATAATAAAACGATCTGTTGCTTCGCCCTTGTTTTCTGTTGTTACACAACCTGTGTGGCAAACTAGGTCTGAACATTAGTTCAGCAAAACTGTGCAGACTGTACAGGGGTGTCCACACGCCTCAGGGTAAACCACCCCCATTACGGGTTACACTGGACTCTGCCGAAGAGGCCGAAAAAGTACTGTTAATGGCTCAGGTACTAGCCCTGGACAGAAGTTCTAACATAAGAGCGCGGCAAGATAGACCATGGGCCGTCAGAAATATGGCGAGGGAGTCACCGGAACTGATGCCTTCCACCTCTATGGTGGTACACGGTGTTCCGGAGCTGGAAACAGGCACTGCTTGTGAAAAACATATGCACGACGTACAACAATGGAGATGGCTGTCATCTCAGATGGCCCCTGGCGCTTCTGGAGCCATCTCCATTTTCCGACTACCTCGTCCCGCTCATCTAACATTGATTAACTCTCCAAAGCTGCTGTGTGTCACATTCAACTCCCCGGAGCAGTTGTCCATATCACTTCAACGGTGGTATGAGACCAAGGGAAAAATTGGAGGACACATCCGATGCTGTGAAAGCAGACCCAGAAATATAAGCAGGCAGCAAACTGAGGCCTTAATACGACCCCAAGCTTCGGTGACACTAGAGCGATGCAGCTCTGAGAATAACAGTCTGTGTCTCCCAAGTGTCCTGCCTAAATCCATTGAAAAAAACTACAACGGGCCGGTTCTATCGGAATCGGCCAACTAGTTCAAACATCAAGTCCCCCACCAGCAGACGGTTTCACGTCAACTACCCCACAACACTCTGAGGTTGTTAGACTCACTGTCAGTTGCCTATATAGCAATGTGAGGGGGCTGAGAGGAAAAGTAGGTGAACTCTGAAATCTCCAAGCACACCTTCAGCTGAAAATAATCATTCTTACTGAAACGTGGCTAAACCCCACTATCGCCGACAATGAAATCAGTATAGGTGATATGGTACTGGTCAGAAGAGACAGGGATAATAAGGAAGGAGGGGGAGTTGCTATATACTTTGATAGGCAACTTAAATATGTGCACGCAACGGACCTACCACTTATCGAACTCCCAGACTCCATATGGTGTCATTTCACCTTAGGCCACACCAAGCACTTACTGGGTGACATCTACCAAAAATCACCATAGCTGGAGATTTCAATGTTCCATCACTGAACCTCGGCTCCGGGTATGCTAAGGGAATATTTGGCCGAAACCTACTGCAAACTATTCGAAACACGGGACTGACTGAGAATGTTGGAGACGACACTAGGTGGGGCCCTAGTGGAAAGTCATCAAAACTAGATTATATTCTAACTAGTGACCAGCTACTCGTCGAAAAGGTCCAGATCATGACTCCTCTGGGAAGCAGTGACCATGCAGTCATAGGTTTCGATCTTGTCCTCCGTGAGCGTTTGCAATGGGATGTTACGCGACCATGTCTGTGCTACAGCAAGGCTGACTATACTGAAATGCGGAGGCTCTTGTCCGACGCAGACTGGCCCTTAGCATGGGACGACCTATCTGTGGATGAACACTGGGAAGTGGTAAAAAAGATTATCCATACAGCAATCTCGGATACCGTCCCTTTAGTCACAACACATCCCAAGAGAAAGACGTCATGGTTGAAGAGAGGCACGCAACGTATTCTGCAAGCAAAGCGGAAGGCTTGGTTTACGTGGCGTGTATCTAAGAGTCAGACCGACCATGATGCATACCTCGAACTCAGGAACCGGTGTAATGCAAGAGTTAGGAGGGACAGAAGGTCATTCCAGGCTAACCTTGCTAAAAAACTCCTATCAAACCCTAAAAACTTGTACCGATTCATGTCGGAAAGAAAACCGACAAACCAAGGGGCATGCGCCTTAGTAGGCCCAAACGGTCAATATCTCACTAGTCTGGAGATGGCTGAAACATTCAGTTCAGCCTTCGCTAAACAGCTAAACAGCAATGTGGATATTACAGTTACGGACCAAAATGGTGGCACCACTATTTCAGAGGAGGAAGACCTAGCGACTACTCCCCAAATAAACCCCGCAATAGTACTAAGGAAGCTACAGCGACTCATACCTGGGAAGTCCCCAGGTTGTGATGACATCAGGCCATCTGTTCTGAAACAGTGCGCCGAGGCTCTCTGTAGACCCCTGTGCGACTTGTTCCAACACTCAATGGATTCGGGGACCCTGCCAAGGGAGTGGAAAAGAGCCATCCTTTCTCCAATCTTCAAGGGTGGGGACAGGCAAAACGCTGCTAGCTATAGACCAGTAGCTCTACTCCCAGTGGTATCAAAAGTACTGGAAAGTATTATTGACGACCACATCAGGGAATATTTCGATAGGACTAATATACTGCATGAAGCCCAACATGGTTTCAGAAAAGGCAGATCCTGCGTCACTAACCTACTGTCAGCTTGGGACGACTGGACATCATGCTGGGACTTGAACGTACCAGTCCATGTGGTCTTCCTAGACTTTGAGAAGGCATTTGACACTGTTCACCATGACCTTCTCCTACATAAAATAAGACAGGCAGGCATAGGTGAGCCACTTCTGTCATGGTTGAAGGACTACCTAGCCGACAGGCAATTTTGCACTAAGGTTAACCGAGTCCGATCATCTTGGCACAGATCGTCATCAGGAGTGTCGCAGGGTTCTATCCTAGGACCACTGATGTTTTTGATTTTCATCAATGATCTACCACGCCGTCTGAGCTGCCCGACTCTCCTGTACGCTGACGACGTAAAAATATGGAGGGCGATAAAGTGTCCGGAGGACTCAGATAGGCTACAGGAAGACCTAAACCTTCTGGAAGACTGGGCGGTGGCCAGTGGCATGACTTTCAACTTGAAAAAGTGCAAAGTAGTGAAGTTGCGCACCTGTAGACTGCAGAATGCAAGTTACACCCTGTGCAATGAAAGCTTGTCCTGCACAACGTCGGAACGCGACTTAGGTCTAGTTCTAACGGAAAAAATGGACACAAGCGTAAATTACACAGGGGATGTAGCGAGGGCATATGCGGTCATACACTTTACGCATAGACAGTTAGGTGCACTCACTCCTGAGCTCTTTCTAATGTTGTACAAAACATACGTCAGGCCACACCTTGAGGTGCATAATATTATTGCACCCCCAATGCTGAGAAGAGATGCCAACCTCTTGGAAAGAGTCCAACGACGGGCAACAAAAGGAGTGGTTGGTCTCCGAAACAAACCATATGATGAAAGGCTGAAGAAATTAGGCCTGTTCACACTTAGTTACCGTCGGCTTAGGGGGGATTTGATTACTGCCTACAAAATAACAAATGACCAGAATCACCCAAACAAAGGTGTTCTGCCATTGAGTAGGTATAGGCTTCCACGTGGAAATCCCAGAAGGATAGCTCACCAGAGGGCAAGGACCCGGGTGCGCTCCCACTTCTTTTCACTGCGGGTTTGTCGTCCCTGGAATTCCTTACCGGCAGATGTAGCTATGGCACCGTCTTTGGACGCCTTTAAGCGAAGGCTGGACAACCATGCAGCGATACAAGGACTGCATCCAAATGGCCTATCTCCTTAAAATCGCATTTACCAATCAGGGTAGATAATTAAACTCGTCATTTTACTTCTTTACATTCTCTCCCGTCTTACTCTCCTGACAACTTATTATAATTACTATTATTATTATTATTACTATTACTGATATATATATTATTCTTCAAACTTCATGAGCTGACTGTTGTTACGTTTCCTATTTTCGTTTCTGTCTCTTAGTCTGAATAGCTTCACTAATTATATCTATTATTATTATTATTACTATTATTATTATTACTACTATCTCTTTTCTCTTGTCGACAATACCGAAGGACTAACTGGCGAAAGGATCAACTCCAATCACAGTAGTAACAGTCTTAACATACCTCATACTACAAACCACATATAATTAATCCCAGCACTACTCCCTTTGGAGTCAACCAAAGCTACGACAGTCGAGTGGCGGGACAAGCTACGCAGAAGTTTACCGAAGATCAAGAACCTATACCTCACAATCAAGAAGCGAGCACAAAGAAATCAAATTGGTTTATACTAGCTCGTAAAAACGATATTGGATATTGGAACGTTTTACTACAGTAATCTGAAGGTTAATAAACAGGAACGGTTTTGAATTTTTGTCAAATGTCATCTCATTCCGCATCTTCTATAGAAACAAATAGACTGGCTGTTAGTTGCCATACATCAGCCCAGAACCCTATACGTTTTGCACGCCGAGGTGCATTTAGAGAGAAAAACGTTTCCCATGTTAAAGGTCATGAGTTTGCGGCTCGTTTTTTGAAGCAATTCACTTTTTGCGGTCATTGCAAAGACTTCATATGGTATTCACCAATAAGCATGCGCAATAATGTAAAATATTTAGGGGCTTAGGGATTCAAGGCGTTCAGTGCAAAGCGTGTTTGTTTACTGTTCACAAAAGGTGCTACCAACTTGTTACTTTCCAGTGCCCTGGTGCAGATACCGGGCCAGATACTGACGTATGTCTGATATAGTTTCAATTACGCATTAAATTTAGTTTGAAAAGAAACATGATTTTGTGTTGTATTCCTATACTAGTCCTACATTTTGTGATCATTGTGGTTCTCTCCTCTACGGATTGATTCACCAAGGTTATAAGTGTAAAAGTAAGTATCAGAAATTCTATTTAATGCACTTGTGTATTAAAAACTATGCTTTCCGTTTGTGCATTCTGAAAATAATATTTCTGTTTTTTATACAGCAAAGTGTTCATATATGCTCTCTTTACATCTAAATCTCATACGTTGAGATGGCTAAAAATTAAGTATTATTTAATATATTCAAAATGGAAAATTTAGTGAATCTCACTGGTGAAAAATGAGCACCAGACGTCGGAATTACAAAGACCCCCAGCGCAAGATTTCAAATAATCTGTGTACTCGTTGGTGAACAGGTGTGGATTCTTCTAAGCAACAAAGTTCCGGTGTAGTTATTATGCAGTGTCAGCCTATTTAATATATTACCGCAGCATAAATTATGGTAGACTATTCTTGTTCCCTAAGCATTTTCGATCCGGCAAAATTAGTTCAGGACAGTGTCCAAAATCCTGGCTTTTGTGTCAAATTGAATTTAATAATTTAAAAATTCCTTTTACAATATTAAGATCACAATATTCAGAAAATAGACTTTTCAGCGTATTTATTTTCTTACTGTACAATCGCACATGTATGGTTTTTTAGTAAAAACGATTGTATCCATTGAGGGAATTGAGTCAAAGGTGTGAATACATGAAATGATAATTGTATGAAATGCAATTAAAATATTCGTGACCATAATCATAATTAAATATCAGGTGGGAAGACAATTTGTGTCATACCTATAATAATTCATAAAATGTATAGATATTTAAGAGGGGTCTATATTTATGAGGTTAGTAGGCTGATATAAAACTACACAACCTTGTTGTGAAATTTGATAAAGTAGAATTCAATATTGTTAGAAAAATTTGGATGCAGAATAACAAGTGGGACAAGTGGAAGCAATTCCGAGTGAGAATAGTAATAATAATAATCGTACTGATGACGAAAATGTACATAGAATGACTAAATAAACAAACCAAATAAAATATTAAAAGAAAATAAATAACTATCCCCCTACGGCCAAGGCAGAAGTAGGGATTGTACATACTTCTTTTATTAACAGAGGTCGGACTTGAACTCATGAATGACGAAGGCCTTCTCTGTCCTTATAAGTTTATAACGACGAAAACGTGGCAGACTAGCATGGATTTGTAGATAGACTTAAAACCACGGTCAGGGTCGGTAAAGTGACAGAAGTCGATAAAGTGGTCTAGAATAGAGCTTCGCACACTTCTTTTCTCCCATGCAAAAGCATGATGGAATATGTTCTCGTATCCATGTGAAATGCGTTCTCTGGCCACCATCAATGTATCTTGCTCCACAAGAGTAGGTGAACTGATCGAGGCAGATGGAGGCGGCCAGACGGAGGAGCTTATCTCTTGTAAAGACAACTTGCGGCTGGTGAACGTCATTTTTAATTTTTCTGCAAAGAAAGCCTTACTCACTGATTTAAAGAGCACATCTAAGACTCGATTACCTTCGAAATTGATGAATAAGGTTTTCCTTTGGAACTGAGACAGTTACCGGTTTGGGCTGCTTATCCTTCGTGCTTCTGTTGGTTAATGCTTTTTGGTAACCGTTTCTGCGGCCTTTAGGAAGGCAAGCTATGAGTCAACACAATCAGAACTACAGATGTTTGTTATCCTAATACGGAACGAGTGAATTATATTCTTTTTCCTGGAGGAAGACAACCAACCATAAAATCAGCCAGTTGTCTATTCCATGTATTTTCCCGATGGGTGGATCTTTTGGGAAATCCGTCGTTGCCTCCACTAAGGCACATATCAAGAAAGGGAATGCTTGGTTCAGACTCCTTTTCTATGGGGAATTGCAAAGAAGAATGACAGTTGCTGAATGCAATCAATACATCATCAAGAATTACATTCTTATCGCGGATATCGAGAGTGTGGTCTACATATCCTTTATAAATGTCAAGGTGATCGATGGTTTGACTAAACTGAGAGTTTTCAAGCTTGGCCATAAAACAGTCAACCAGCAATGTACCCACTGGCGATCCGATGGCCATGCCATCTCCCTGTCTAAAGATCTGATTATTGAAGGTGAACTGAACATTCAAAGTGTACATCAATAAAAGTTTTTTGAAGTAGTTCGTCAGCAACCCTATTTCTAAACTATGTGCATCAATATAATCGCATATACGGCAGACACTTTCCATGAGAGATACATCGGTAAATAGCGAAGTAACACCTAATGAGAACATGGCTTTATCTGAGACATTAACATTTTCATTATTTTCAGTAAGTTTAAATCTATCATCAATGGAAATCTGATGTACTTACCTCCCGACTGGTCCCTGTATTTCTGCTGGCCACTGAACATTTCCATGATAAGGAGGTTGAATTACTGAATTGTTCCTAAACTTAACACCAGTACCTAGTTATTTGTGTTGATTATGCGATCTCCAGTAATATATGAAGGATTTAAATACGTTTTTTGAGCTAAGTCTAAGACTTGCTTAGTTTTTGTGTTGAAGTAAATTTGTATACTTCATGCTGAAATGTACTTCCTCTTGATTAAAAACTCAGCTTATTTGAATCTAGCTTTAAAGGTTTGTGGTAACCATTTGATAAAACTCTTTACAAAGCCTTTAAAGCGTGTTGTTTTCACGGTGGTTAATCTGGTAGAATTTTAAATCACCACTTGAACTTACTGTGACTTGCATAAATATATCGGAACGTCAATTGTAACATACTTTTGTAAATAGCTACACGATGATATTTTTCAACAATCACTCTTATTTAAGTGCACAATAGTACCTTTTGATCGGTTTATTCTGACCTAATATTGCCAATTCCTATGGACAAAGCTAAGTGTACTAGCAAATAAATACAAATAATGTGTTGAAAACTGACTGCTGGCAGTTATCAAATATTGTTAACTGACATTCAAGCGGAGACGCGGATAGAAATCACTGTCTGAAGCATTCCCTGCTACGATTATCTTTTAATTAACACAGAAATTCTGTAATTTTGAAACATTTCTTTGCCCTTTGAATAATAAGACCTGTTGGCTTTGTGTATCTGAAAGTGAAATGCAAAAAAACAACCTGAATATTACAATTGCAACTCCCTCCAAATATCTTTTTATGAATGTTAAACAAGTTTCATTCTAGATGCCCTCGTAAAGTAAGTAATTCACTCTTTTGACTAAGTTTGTATCGTCAAGGCAGTTTTTCACACAATATTAACCTTAATTTTGTCAGAGTTTTGTACGAACAAAAAATCCCTTATGTTTCCGTTCACAGACTGTGATCTGAATGTTCACAAGCGATGCACTTCTCGTGCCCCACGACTATGTGGTATGGACCATACTGAAAGAAGAGGCCGATTGAAAGTCTCAATCACTGCTCAGCCGGGAAGACTCAAAGTTGAAAGTAAGATCACTGTAAATTTATATTCTTAGTTATTTATTTCCAAATTACTTTATAGATGTAGTCAGTTCCACACTTTAAGTTTCTAATCCTATAGGTGCTCTACAACAGTTTAAATATCGTTTTCCAGAATAAGTAATTTACTAACTCATCTTTTATAATTGCCATTGAATCATCACTGGTATCAGTTTCTGACTGTCGAAATTTCTCATTTTTGTTCTTGATATCTCCGAATGTCATTTGATTCATCAAAGACCTAAAGGTTTCGTGTTCTTTAAAAATTTCAAGATAAATTCACCTCTTTTCCGTTTGAACACACTTTCAGATGGCTATCATACAGTTCTATATCAGATGAGTTTATTTTATACAGCGCTGATACGGTATCGATTGCTGGATGACGTTTCGAGCACAACTTATTACTCATAACTATATCAACGTCATGCAGTTATCAATACTGTATCACAGTGTGTTAAATAAGACAAACTTTTCTAATTGTACTACAGTGCCGAAATTCCACAATTACTTAAGTCACATAGCTCAAACAAAGAGTTTTTACGAAGTGATTTCTAGTGTGTAACTTCTCATGCTCATGTTTTAATTGGTAGCTGCCAGTGAAATGCAAGTTTTTTCACTATCATCATACGTTTTGGATCTTTATTTTACTTGAATAATTGTTCTTGTTATATGCGCCTTCGGATGCGGCACTTGATTTTCAGGCAGTAAACCATATATTAAAGTCTAGTTCCACTTGCCGAGGTTTGGGCAGCTAGGTTTTATCATCAATCTTTAGATCACACCTTCTAGGTCCCGAATCGTAATGAATTCGCCAAGAGAGATGGAGACTCATTGTAACACTCGTCCATATGTAATTTTGGCCATTTCATAAAACTTTGGAAGGTATTATAAGTAGCATGGAAACAGATGGCTGTGAAAACCGAATATATTTGACTGGAAATTCTAGACCATGATGAACGTGATAAAAAAATAATTTTGTACATAGCTGATTTTCCCAAGAATAAAGCAGATCACATCCTGGGATTCCTTCTAACCTTTTAGTGTCTATGATGGTATAGTAAGTGCATTCATTTACAGTGGAGTATTTTGTTCACTGCAATAGTCTCGTGTTGTGTAAATCAAGGCAAGCTCTTTTATTTATTTCTCATATTTCATCTTAGATAATGGCTACTTTGGATTTTTAAATACGTCTTAAACTTTTTGTGGCTATCATTCAGTTAGTTGGTCTACCAACATTCTTGATTAAAATGTTACACCTGTTCGTTAAGCGTTTTTCTTTCAAATCCAGGGTAATATCACTAACATTAACAGGTCAAAGATGTTTGTACGGTTAAGAAATTTTACTACAAAATAAACAAACAACTAAAAATACACTCTTTTCTTTTGTAGCATCTTAAAGTAAAACAAATAAGGGGAATAATGCTGTTTTTCAACTGAAATCCTTTCGGTTATGAAATCATTAGTCTAGTTAGAATTGGGCTTTTAAATGGTGAATTTTTTATAAGCCAGTTTATTTAAGCTTCTCATAAGGTGGTTAATTTTTGGTTGTGTTTTTAAATAAGCCTAACTTCTTTGGAACCTAGTTATTATTATATTTGTTGTATTATTATTAGTTTGGCAGGTGCAGCTATCGAAATTCTTTTTGCACAAGGTTCACAAATTTTATTTTTTTTCGTGGGTGCATGTTCACTAAAGGACTACACAGTAAAATATTTACTATACTGGGAATGAAATTAGCTAATCAGTTGTATAACAACATGAACAAACAAACAGATAGTCCTATTGTGAGGACCAGCCTGGTGAATGTTCTGTTTTTGCATTGAGGAGGATGAATTCTGTTGATATCGTGAGAGTGAAATCTAATGATGGTTGTTTATTAACTCATGTGATTTGAACGAAATGCAGATTATTGAACGTTTGAGCAAAAAGAAAGATGTTTAAAGAATTAACAGCTAGTAACATGATCTTTCCAAAACCTAAAATTGGACCTAATGGGCTTAGTAATTTCTTATTAAACAATAGGACTAAATTTCGTGATCACATAGGCGGCGAAATTTTTATCACTTGTGTTTTTTCATATTGGTTTGACGAAAACTTGACCACATGTGTTTTAAAATGTAAGATTAAGAAGAAAAATTCTTGGGTGGGTGTATTACTGTACATTGTGAAATTGTAGATCGGCTGTTTATTTGTAGTAAGCTGAAAAGACTTTATTTTAATGTCACTATTTAATAAGTTTTATGTGATTTCATACGCAGTGGTAAAATGTTATTTAATGGATAATATTTAATCCGCTAACTGCTCACAATCACATCAAGGCATTCGTATGCGTTTCTTTGTTGCTTTTTATAGTTCTGTTCATTCCTTACGTTTTGTACAATTTCTCTTACATGCAGCATTGATGTTTTAGACATTCTACCACAGTATCCTAATTCTTTTTCTAACTTAGTAATGATAACAGCTGCTAAATAATACCAAAATCGTTTTTAATAACTGTGTAAACAATTTATTTATAGGGATGATTATTGAACTGATGTTCGAGGGGAACTTGGCCTTTGTCGTTTGATGTAATTTCACCTTTCACATGATAAAGCAGATTGTGACACGGTTTTATTTACTAGATGACGTCTCAAGAACAACATATTGCCTCTATTTATATCAATGTGTCAGAAATATCATACAGCAAATAAAAAACCATGCCACTTTTCGCTTTATCAAATAAAAACGCCAAAGAGTTTAAATGGAATTATTTAGGAAAAATATGTTTGAACAAACAAATGTTGATAAAGAGAGTTTTTAAAATCAAAGTGACTTAGTACATATATATATATATTAACATCGGTGGTTTAACGGTAGAATGCTAGACAAACACACTCGTTGTCCGTCGTTCGATTCCCGACTGATGCACTCCTAGACCTCGCCTAGTTTACCAGCCGGTAGTAGGTTAGGAAAAGAGAAAAAGTTGGGCATGAGGCTGGCAAACCAAACCCGTAAAATAAACATTAACGCCAGTGAAACTCCAAAGCATGAAACCCTATGTACCACTAAGAACACAGGAGACTGAAAAATGTATATGTCCTTACTTTTTCTCTGTAACCCAACATAAACTAAAGAAATGCGCAAAACTAAGATGTGGTGAACAGTTGTAGAGTCCCTGTTTAAGATTCTTCAGCAGTGTACACCAGTGGCTCTTCACTGTCGATTTCCCAACCAAGAGTGAGAAGTCAAAGAATTGATAAATTATCGTAGCCTTTTAATCTGATGTTTAATGTCCCTCTGAAGTAAGCAATCAAAATGTTGAGATTCATATGACCTTTAGACTTACTTGCAGTATACCTTCCATTGGTACTGCGGATCCACTAGCTCGTCGTTTGTACACAATAGTAGACATTGGGATTCTGCTAAGTAAGCTGAACTATACCTCTGAAGGATGTTTCACAGCCATTTTGTTTATCCCTTCAATTAAAGTTATTATGGTATTATTATAAATTTTAGCCATCTTATTAATGTTACTTTCTCACTTTAAAATATTCCTATTTAAATTTCTGAACACTTGACAAAATTGCTCACTTATACTTCTAATTTTTCTTTATCACACTGACTATGCATTATGCATCAAGGAGTCTTAAATTCCACGATTTCCTGTAATTATTTCAATTCATTAACAGTTTCCCCTTCAAAAATTTACTCGATTAGTCATCATTCTTGCAGTACTGACGTATCACTATGTCTGAGTGCTCACTTTTAGATTGGTAATTAGTGTATTGTATAGAAAAGTTTTGTATTGGTGTAGAACAGTTGACAAATACCTGATTGAAAATATTTTTTGTTGATATACGCTTAAGGAAACAATACAAGTATTACTTTGCTAACATGTGCGGTGAAAATATCATTCATGGACTGTTAGGACATTTTTGTCTGCTGTTTTAGATTACTGCTTTCTAGATTAAATAGATTAAATGCACGAAAATGGACTCCTAAGGGGCTTTCGATTAAGGCATGATCAGTTTAATGAAGTAGGTCACTATCAGGCTGGAAGTAGGCATTTCTAACCCTTAAATGCAACAGTTTTTGCATCTTTTCTACTAGGATAAGGATGCCTACGGTTTGCATATAAATTAGCAGCATTCTAAACAGATTTATCAGAAAGATTGTGTTTTTCAAAGCGTTTTCTTATATACAAGAGCATTTTGCATAGAGAAACATGAATTGGAGACATGAATTGATCGTTGACAGTGTAGGTCATAAATATAATTGTGGTGTGACTTTCAACCTAATTACATAATTTTAATCTGTCACAAACCATTGGTTCTGTACTTTCAAATGTCTTTTGGTCGACACATTGTCATATTTGCGAACTGTCTTAGAAGCTGCATCGTCTGCACTTCAATAGGATAATTTCGAGACCATAAATTTTTCGTCGACCTTGAATTCCCATCCATAAAAATGCGTATTCATCACGTTATTTATGTATTTTAGGCATTATATTTCGTCATAGCTTGGAATAACAATGTTTGTCTACAATTTTATAGTGTTTTTCAGAAGTAAGCAATTGTGAATCAAAACACTAAGTTTCAGATTTGTGATACCAACCCCTTTTGAAATGATGAATCAGCTTTTTCTGTCTTACCCTTAACAGAATGTTGGCACTGCAGGTTACACAAATGCAGTAAAGCATTTATTGCGGACTGAAGCTCCGAGTAAAATGCTGTTTTTAAAAAATGATGTTAAGACTAACTAACCATTAAAGAAGGATAATTATACCCACAGATACTCGGATCTTGCAACACTGCTTGGTATGAGTTGTGTAAGTCTTTTCTAAAAAAATACATTTACCTGACAAAATCCATCTAGATTAATAATCTTAAAGGGATGAATATTTTGTGGTTAAATTGCAGTAGACAGAAAAAGAAAGTAGCTGTTTGCTTTTTATGAAGCAAAATATGAATGCTAAATTTTTTTAAAAAAAAAATGAATAAACTGCTATT